TGGCTTGTACACGTACGCAGCCCGCCTCATCGTTAACTCATCTAGATTTTTAGAGTAATGGGTTCATGATTCAACCCAACTAAATAATTAGATGGGATAATTTGTTATTCTGGCAGTGCTTCACGACCGGCTTTATGAATCATGTCTCGAAAGGGAAACGAATGCGTTGAAGATCATTACGATGAACAACTCTCTTTGGTTTCTTTTTTTTTTATACAATACAAAGTGTCGTTTCAAAGTTCTTAACGGGGCAATGACGTCACGGCCACTGATCGCTCGTTGCTGTTTTTCTTTTTTCTTAAAGTTTTTGTCGTTTTATTCAAAGCGAATCACAGGAAGAAGGTTTTTTTCGTTTCTCGACTGCCACACGAATCTTGATTATACTGTTAAAGTCTCATTATATTTACAACATGTACAAACATATTTATAGATAGCGTATGTATCATATAGCATATAGATAGCATATTATATGTTTTAATGTAAAAAACGTTACTTTATATAGTTATGTTTATAAAATCCCACCAAACAAGGAATGTGAAAAGGGGGCCAAGTCCGGTACAAACGACGTCGTGTTCGTGTAATTACACTAAATACACACTGCCGATGCGTCGCCCTTTTCTATTTCAAACTTGGACTTGGCTGACACACTGACGTGTGTCTAGATCTATCGTTTAGCAAAAAAATTATCTGATAAACCAATATAAGACCCCCAATCGTAGATCTTGTAATAGATTAATAGAAGCGACAGTAGCCTAATGGCAGGGCGCGGACTGCGACCTCAAAAAGGTCGTGGGTTCGAATCCGCCATTCGACTACTGGCATGAACTACTCGTAACACAAGTAATTTTAGCTTACTACGAGTGGTTAAGGGGAATATTAATAGTGTTTATAGCATTGTTAACATTCGATTCTAAAAAAAATAACAACAGTGCCCGAATAATCTGACAACCTCCGACGTTCTGTAAATATACCTTTAAACGAGCAATATATATAATCGGAATCTCGGAAACGGCTCCAACGATTTTCATAAAATTTTGTGTGCAGGGAGTTTCGGGTGCAATAAATCGATCTAGGTAGGATTTATTTTTAGAAAATGTTTTTTGTCCGTCTTTTCAGACAATGAAAAACTGCTACAATATAAGAAGGTATTTCCTTTTTTTTTCAAGTTACCTTTTTTGTGAGAAAATCTATTATTTCGAGCCCTTTTTTTTAGTATTTTTTAAAAATACGAAAATTTTAATTAAATTAATTGCACTCATGATTTTTATTCAAATAACCCGTTCAGTTTTTTCTATTATGTCAATAAGATCAAAAAATATTATTCATCAGTATGTAATTTGTATCTAAATGTAATTTCAAAAAAAAACCCGGGTACTATAGTATTATATAGATAAAACGTAGACGGTTTTTTTTTTAATTTAATGTTATTTCATTATGAGATGTTGGCGAAATAAAAAATAAAAATGTAACCGCGATCTTAGAGTTTTGATTATAGTATAATTATCACTATATTGTAATTAAATATAATAATTAAGATTATAGTAAATCCTCCCAACATAATCCTTTACGTACAGTGGCGGTGTAAGAATATCCACTATCCTATATCATCCCTGTCCCGTTGTCTCAAGAGGGCGACACAGGGAACAAATCAGGAGATAGGCAACAGCGTCTTCCTGATACCAACTGCAAATTAAAAAACCCCTTCCTTTTTTTTTTTTTTTGGGTTTTATAAAATTTAAAAATTTTAAAAAATAAAAAAAAAAAATGTTTATGGGGAGCCCCCTTTTTTTTGTGTTATCTTTTTGTTTTTTTGTTATTGTGTTTGGTATGAGTATGAGTACCAGGTAGACCGAGCTTTGCTCGGTATTTTTCGCTCGGTTTTTTTTTAATTCGTGTGTTTTGGAAATTATATTTAGATACAAATTACATACTGATGAAATACGAATAATATTTTTTGTATAGTAAAAACTACGTAACATAATAGAAAAAACTGAACTGAGTTTAATTTAAATTTTCGTGTTTTTAAAAAATGCTAAAAAAAGGGCTCGAAAAAATAGATTTTCTCAAAAAAAGAAAGGAACTTGAAAAAAATTAAAAAAAGTCGGTCGGTCGGTCTAGGCTCGAATCATGGTATTACGATTTTGTGACCGCCCAATATACCAATTAAGCTATTTGTAATCATTAATAAACTGTCAAAATTTATCTTCTTATTCTAACGATATTGTAGCAGTTTTTCATTGCCTAAAAGACGGACAAAAAGACATTTTCTAAAAATGCTCCTGCCCCCGAAACTCCCTGCACACAAAATTTTATGAAAATCGTTGGAGCCGTTTCCGAGATTCCGATTATATACGAGGGTGGATTGAAAAGTACTCGGCCTAACTCAGATCCATTCAATTCTAAAAATCAAATCTACCCACATTATTTAGTTCAGTTCAGACTAGTTCATTGTGTAAAGTTCGAAACGTGTGCGATAATTAGTTGTGATTTTATAAATTTATTAACAAAGTAATCGGACATAATTTCCGCGAATGGAGCAAATCGAGCAGCGTGCCGTCATTAAGTACCTCCATAAGAAGGGGCTATCATCAAAAGCCATCCATGATGACATGGTCAGTACATTAGGCGATTGTGCTCTGTCATATTCATCCGTCAAAAAATGGATAGCAGAATTTAAACGTGGTAGAGTTAGAGTGTGAAAGATGAACCCCGCTCTGGAAGGCCTTCGACGTCAACTACTGACGAAAATATTTAAAAAGTACTTGATTTAATAATGGGAGACCGCAGATTAAAAATTAGAGAGATAGCCGAGATTATAGGCATCCCTTATGAACGAACTCAAAACATCATTGTCAACGAGTTGGGTTTCCACAAGGTGTCTGCGAGGTGGGTTCCGCGACTGCTTTGAGTTGAACAAAAAAGGACAAGATTGACTATTTCACGCGACTGTTGGAGTTATTTGAAGCCGATGCAGATGATTTTTTGAATCGTTTTGTTACTATGGACGAAACATGGGTTCATTACTGTACACCGGAAACAAAACAACAATCTAAACAGTGGAGAAGACCTGGTTCACCACCCCTAAAAAAGGCTAAGTCGATTTTGTCGGCAAATAAGGTGATGGCTTCAGTATTCTGGGACTCGAAAGGTGTGATTATGATTGATTATCTTGAAAGGGGTCAGGCTATAAACTCTGATTACTACTGCACCTACTACGTGTAACGTCGTTTACGAGAGGAAATAAAAGAAAAACGTCGAGGAATGCTCAGAAGAAAAGTCCTGTTTCATCAAGATAACGCCCGTGTTCACACGTCAGTACAGTCAATGGCTGAAACTCACAACTGTGGCTTTGAACTGTTACCGCATCCACCGTATTCACCTGATCTGGCACCATCAGACTTCTTTCTGTTCCCTAACCGAAAAAAGTACTTGGGAGGACAAAGATTTTCGACAAACGACGAGGTCAAAGCAGCTGTAGACGCATATTTTGACTCTAAGGAAGAATCATTTTTTTTCAACGGTCTAAATGCTTGGAAGGGGAGGTGGCAAAAGTGTATTGAACTTGATGGTGATTATGTAGAAAAATAAAAATATAACTGATTTAGTATGTGTTTATTTTCTTGGTTAGGCCGAGTACTTTTCAATCCACCCTCGTATATATACATTGCTCGTTTAAAGATATAGGATATTGTAACATGTTCACAGATTAAAGTTTCATCATTATGATTATCGATTATAAAGTTAAAATTAAAGTTACAGCCTATATACGTCCCGATGCTGGGTACAGACTTCCTCTCATTTCTGAGAAGGTTTTATGGAAAGGAAGTGTCCGCCACGCTGCCCCAAAGCGTGTTGGCGAACTTCACATGTCTTCAAAATTTTTATTTTTTTATTTGTCAGACATGTAGGTTTCCTCACTATGTTACCTTCACCGCCGAGCACGTTGCACGCTGACTTTTTTTTGTTTGTATTAGTAATTTTTTGACTTTTACACCTTTTATTAACTTGTATAAAATTATTGTATGGTATTAAAATGTTTAATTGATTTCTTATTTTAATTTTACTTGCGTTTATTATTATCTTTTTAATGTTAACGATACAATTTATATTTTTCAAGTGAGATATATATAATATAATAATAATGTTTGCCAAGCGTGGCAACTATAGCAAATATCCCCCCTATGACAATCTATGGGGGAGGCCTATGTTTCTAAAATAGCCTACTAAAGTCCACTGCTGAATTCAGTTCTAATATTTAATATTAAACACAAACGATGGCAACTGTACTATCATAAGCTCCTTGTCATTTAAGTAGTCGTGGATACAACAATAAAACATTGTTTTACTTTAAAAAAAAATGTTATGTTATACTAAGACTAAAAAATTGAGATTGTCCGGTCTTTTAACCAAAATTTCCGGCTGAGATCGCTGGTCTGTCCGGCTTTTCGGTTTTAAGACCTGGCAACCCTATATACGTATTGCTAGACGTTTGGTACTGTGCGATTATCATTCCACTTGCCAAGCGTGACGATAAAGACTAATCCACCCTACAACAGTAGAGGCTGATGTTCAGGCGTGGACTTTCATAAGGGAGGACCACGCCCTCACAGAACAAGCGTGAAATAGCCGCATAATGCCAGTTCAAGTCTCTACAATCACCATACGAAAATGTTTCGTATGGTGATTGTAGAGGACCGGGACCCTTTTGACTAGAGACGAGACCTTCCATCGTAGTCACCAGGGGTGACAACGCATCTGCTTTTCGATACTTAATCGAGGATAGATGTAGATGTCTATGGGTCACAGCATCCACTTACCATCAAGCGAACCTTGTGCTTGTTTGTTGTCCTTATTATATAGAAAATTGCTGCTGTAGCTGTATGTCTATGGGCCACAGCATTCACTTACCGTTAGGTAGACTGTGTGCTTGTTTGTCAACCATTGCCCGTTTTTATACTGAGACAACTTTGAAGAAAGTGTTGTATTTATGTTATTATACCTTGATTGCAGAATTCAAAAAGGACTGGTCAGATCACGCGCTATGGTGGCCGACGCGCAACAAATGGCTCTCCAGACCGAAACACACCTTGGACCAGTACGGCGTGCACGCGGACGCCGCTCTGCACTTCACGCCCATGCACAAACCGCTCCGCATCCAACTCCCGGACTTGAGATACTTAGATTGCAAGATAGACTTTTCCATCGACACTTTCAGTGCAGTCATGCAGTTGTGCAAGAATCTCGGTGAGTTTTTTCACCCCCGACAGAAAAGAGGGGTGTTATAAGTTTGACCGCTACGTGTGTCTGTCTGTCTGCGGCACCGTAACTCTTAAACGGGTGAACCGATTTGGGTGCGGTTTATTTATTCATAAGCAGCTTTTCTAGCGGTGGTTCTTAAACATTTTTAATCATAATCGGTTCGGCCGTTTGAAGATCATCAGCTTTTTTGTTTCGGGGGTTTCTAAAATTTTTAATTTAATTAATTTTTTTTCTAGTGAAAGAACCATTTCTTTTTAATTGTTGTGACTATAATAGAATTAGGTGTAATGATTATCAATACCGAAACATCTGAGTCAAAGCAATCGAAATTATCAATTGTGTATATGTTAATGGAGGGTCTGAAAGCGGGTGGAACACCGGTACTTGAAGTCCTTCAGAAGCTCTTCAATTCCGTCCTCCATGGTGGCACTACTCCAGAGGCGTGGAGCAGAAGTGCGGTGGTCTTGTTCTTTAAGAAAGGCGACAACGCTCTCTTGAAGAACTACAGACCGATTTCCCTTCTGAGCCGCGTCTACGTGCTGTTTTCCAGAGTCATTACGAATCGTCTCGCACGCAGACTCGACGACTTCCAGCCTCCCGAACAAGCCGGTTTTCGAAAAGGCTTCAGTACCATAGACCACATACATACCCTGCGGCAGATTGTACAGAAGACTGAAGAGTACAATTTGTCACTTTGTCTGGCGTATGTGGACTATGAGAAAGCCTTTGATTCCGTCGAAATTTGGGCGGTGCTGCAGTCCCTTCAGCGGTGCCAAGTTGACTGTCGGTATATCGAAGTGCTGAAGTGTTTGTACAGTAGGGCTACGATGGCTATCCGAGTACAAAACCAGAGTACGAAACCTATCCAACTGCAGAGAGGTGTAAGACAGGGTGACGTTATATCCCCGAAACTCTTCACCGCTGCAGTGGGATACGTTTTCAAGCTACTGGACCGGAAAGCAACGGTATTAACATCAATGGCGAGTACATCACTCACCTTCGATTTGCTGACGATATAGTCCTTATGGCAGAATCGCTGAAGGACCTAAGCGCTATGCTGAATGACCTCACTAGTGCCTCCCAACGGATAAGTCTTAAGATGAACATGGACAAAACAAAGATCATGTTTAATGTCCATGTCACACCTATGCCGGTAGTTGTTGGGAGCACTATGCTCGAAGTTGTTGACGAGTACGTTTACCTGGGACAAATAGTCCGACTAGGTAAGTCCAACTTCGACCGAGAGGTCAATCGACGGATTCAACTCGGCTGGGCAGCGTTCGGGAAATTACGACACATCTTCTCGTCAGGTATACCTCAATCTCTGAAAACTAAAGTGTACAACCAGTGCGTGTTGCCAGTGATGACTTACGGATCAGAGACGTGGTCCTTCACTGCTGGCCGTATGAGGACGCTCAAGGTCGCTCAGCGAGCTATGGAGAGGGCTATGCTCGGAGTTTCTCCGCGTGATACTCAGAAATGAGGATATCCGCAGTTAAACCAGAATGACCGACATAGCCCAACGGATTAGTAAGCTGAAGTGGCAATGGGCCGGCCATATAGCTCGAAGAACCGATAACCGATGGGCAAGAAAGGTTCTCGAGTGGCAGCCTCGTACCGGTAGGCGTAGTGTAGGGCGACCCCCCACTAGATGGAGTGACGACCTGGTAAGATATGCTGGAAGTCGATGGATGCAGGTGGCTCAGGACCGTGCTTTGTGGCATTACTTGGGGGAGGCCTATGTTCAGCAGTGGACTTGTGAAGGGCTGTGATGATGATGATGATGATGATGATAATGGAGGGACATGCAATACCATGCTTAGGCTTAGTTAATTTAAAATGTACCTACTACTACTGTTTCAGCTATTCACTGATGCACAGTTTTAACCCAAAGGGCACATAGAGTACGAGCGGAAACCCCAACATGATTTGTAGAAAAGCATGCCCATATATTTTTCGACAATTAATTAAAGCATAGAGCCATGGTAGCTCAGAGGCTAAGCGCTCGCTATAAATTTTACAGTACACGAGCAACCCGGGTTCGATCCCCGCTGTCACCAATGAAATTGTTAATTGAAATTTTAAGTGCTGATTTACCACGTGCTCCGCGGTGAATGAAAACATCGTGAGGAAACCTGCATGTTTGAGAAATAAAACAAAATATTTCTATTTTGTACGAGTTAGAGCCACGCTGCAGCTATATATGATGGTTGTAGCACGAATGGGTCGGCTCGACCGGGGAAGGACCACGCTATTACAGAATACTAGAGTAAAATAGCAACTTAATGCTTATTTCGTATGGTAAGTTTAGAGAACCGGCGACCCGTTTTACTGGAACCGAGGCATTCCATTTAAGTCATCAGGGGTGACAACGCATCTGCATTTTGTTTCTTAATCGAAGTTAAATTTAGATATCTATGGGCCACTTACCATCAGGTGGACTGTGTGCTCGTTTGTCACCCTTAATCTATAAAAAAGAAACATGTGTCGTTCGACAACACCATAAAAACTCAGACAAACTTCTAAAACCCTCTTAGAAATGAGAGACCAGGCCAAATAGTGGGACTTATGTAGGCTGTCACCATAACTTTAATTAAAGCATAGTCTATATACGTTTCTTGTATTATATATCTAAGGCTTACTATATAATCCATAGTTACGAAATAAAAGTTTTATTTTATTTTATTATCTAAGATCATAAAGCCATTCTATGCTCTAAGAGAGCGCTGCAAATAAGTAGAATAAAAATGTTACTTATTTTGTTTAATATTGTTTTTTTTTAATTAAAATATCATAGCCAACCTCTTTCTTACATAATGCTCTTCAAGTGTTACGAGTCTTTGTATTAATATTAAAGCGACTGAAGTATGACTTCATTTTTTAATTTTAATCATTTTACCAAAAATACTTACAGGCATAAGGCACCCTGAAGAATTATCGTTGTACTACCCACTCGAGCCATCACACCTCAAGCAGAATTATCAGAACTTAAAAGAAGCAAAGAGAATAAAATCTACTCAGCCCCCAGATACAAATACGTTCATAGCAGCAACAAGAGGCTCGTCGAACAGTCTCGACAGGTCTAATGGACCTTGCCCAGCCACGCCACCCCCACCTAGGTCGCTATCTGCAACACCAGTAGCTTCGAATCACGTAAGTAATTACCGGCTTTGTCAAATTTGAGCTTATACAATACAATATCGAGTAATTCGATAGGTAAATCAGTTGTTGTTGTGCAAAATGTACACCCATACAACTCACATTGAACTTCTTTTGAGATACTGACGCTAAAAGTTTATTTCGGTATCTGATGTTCTTTAGATTCCTTGTTCCTTGCTTGTAATTTCGTTTTTAACTGGAACTGTTTGCACTATATATTTTGAAATATTATATCATTTTTACTTAACTACGTCAAGTAAGTTAATCTCCTTAAGAGAAGTATCTTCCATTTTCCTATGTAATTATATCATTACAAATTACAAATTAGAAAACTGCTTACCCTTTTAATAATTATCATTTTTTCTTTAAACAAAATTATGAAATACAAAAATTTTCAATAATGTATCATGTTGTTGTTTCAAATCTATCTGATTTTTTTACTTCTAGAATGGCACAATCCGACGCTACGGCGGCCATATCTACAGCACACAGAGCGACGGCTCGAGCGACGGAGGCTACTGCGGCACTCCACCACGCGCGTCTTCCCTGGACGCACTAGACGCGCTGGGCGATATTTCGCTAGCCGACTCGCCTTTGGAACCAGACTCTCAATCGAGGGAGTCGCTACTAACACCCAAATCTCTGATGGAACGCGCCAGGATGAATGTTGGGTAAGTTTTGTTTTAGATACTTAATTACTTTTGCTCCCACAGAAGCAGTCATGCAGCACATATTTATAGAGCTGGCTCGGCGTTCCAAAGCCGGAAGTGAAAGTAGCCAACACTGACGATACTACAGACCGATCATAGTTTGGTAATAGCTGAGTTAAGTCATAGAAGAAAATTGTTAATTTTTAAATAATACTAGTTTTTACGGATTTTATCGCGTATATTAACTTTTTTAAATACCCGACGTTTCGAGCACTTTATAGCACCCATGGTCACGGGTCACACTGAGATGTTCAACGTCCAGTGTCAGTTTTTTTTACGTCAACTGGCTTTACGGCTCTGGGTTCTAGCCCTTCTGAGCCTATCATTTCTTTCGGAATCTTCATTTAATATTCTTTTCTACACAATATGCTGATGCGTCACATTGCGAAGCTCTTGAGAGATTTTGACGACAGCTCAATCTAGCGGACAGTTGATGACGACAGCCACTCAAGTTCATAAGGCGCCCAAGCGATCGAAATAACTTGAGATTTATATCGACATCACTACTTGAGCTATCTATCAAAACACTTGTTTCGTCGTTTTCTCTAATAGTTCACACGCGCGGACACTTAATTCACAAAATCGCATCACTTTTACGAATCAAACTCCACTTCAAACCGTTATTCAAGCGACAAAACAGGAGCGACAATCCGTCTACGGCCAAGTTTTCAACTCGATGTCACATTTAAACGCGGTTACAATAGATTAAATTTATTAATTTTTGTTTACTTAAATGTTTAGTGTTCGCGTAAATATAAGAAATCATTAACTTGTTGGTAACTTTACTAGTTATTAGGACTAGGAGATTAGCTGAAAAGGAGTCTATATGGGTAGGTAGCAATCTCTTACCTAGTTTTCCCTCCAAATAGCAGTGCTTGCATTGCTTTACTTCGGTCTGAAGGGTATAGATAGCGAGTATAATTACAGGCAGTGAGACATTCCATCTTAGTCCTGTAGTGACACCGCATCTGTAACATTATTTGTATGAAGTTGGCTGCAGGTGTCGATGAACTTTAGTAGTCACTTATCATTAGGCGGAGCGTTAGTTTCTTTATAACTAGTTTTTTTTTAAACGGATTATCTACACGGCGAAACAGTATTTGAATAAAATGTTTACACACTGGGTGCGTTTGGTAGAAAAAAGCGCTAGCAAGCGCTTACAAGCGCTGAAATAGTTTTCGGCCAGGACACGATTGCTACTTCAGTAGCGCTGACACAATCCGCCATTTTGCTTATTTAATTTGTTTGTTTTGAAGTAGAGTTTATAAGTTGTTTTGTGCAATATTAGTTTTAAGTAATATATTGACATGAATAAACATATACATGTTATTAAAAATTCATGATTGGTAAGTTTTTAATATGAATACTTTACAAACATATATTTAAATTAAGTTAGGTTCCCCGGTTAAAACTAACATCGTGTCCTGGAGGAAAATAGCTACTTACGATTTGACAGCGCTTACCGCTTACAAGCGCTTGCTAGCGCTTTTTTCTGCCAAACGCACCCACTTTCTTACTTCTTAATTATAGTAAACTGTTGCATGATATTTTTTTTATAGAATAGGATGATAAACGAGCACACAGTCCACATGATAGTAAGTGGATACTGTGGCCCATAAACATCTACATTTATCCTCGATTAATGATCAAAATGGAGATGCGTTCTCATCCGTGGGACTAAGATGTAATGCCTCGTTTCCAGTAGAAAGGGTCTCTGCTTCTCTACACTCACCATACAAAACACAGCAGCATTGAGCTGCTATTATACGCTGGTGTTCTGTGAGAGCGTGGTCCTACCCCGGTCGAGCTGACCCATTCGCGTTAGAACAGTATAAATATAGTTGCAGCGTGGCTCTACCACAGAAACAGAAACTTTTTTATTCAATGTAGATTATAACAATACTTATTGAAAGTCACTTTTTTAATTTACGTAGAGAACATCTTAAAGTTGTAATAATAAATACTTTTTCACACTAGCTGGCTGGACTCTTCGCTTTCCATCATGGAGCAATACGTGCGTGAATGGGACACACTACAACTTCGCTTCAAGTTTTACTCGTTCTTTGACTTGACTGCGCGCGCACACGACGCGCCCAGGCTGAACCAACTCTACCAACAAGCACGTTGGCAGATCCTGAACCAGGAGGTTCATTGTACTGAGGAGGAAATGCTTCTGTTCGCCGCTTTACAGGTAATATTTTGCTTTTTAACCGATTTTTACGTTAAATACATGTTTTTTTTATCGTTGAGCGACCTTTTAAACCTGGGATGTTGCAGATTCAGTGTATATAAATTGTAGGTAGTGAGTACCATACACGCGTATGACACGTACCACTCGCTGGTTCCCACCTAATTTCTTGTCCCAACTTTTATGACATCCACATCCGCAAAATCTCCGCACTGATTATTATGGATGCATAAGCGAATATAGATGTCTAAATCCATGCAATGCTCTTACCCATAGATCATAAATACTTTTTCCACGAATTATTACTAGGTTTATCCTCGAATAAGAATCAAAATGCAAATACGTTGTCATCCCCGAGTACTAGAATGGAATGCTGCATCATAATTAAAAAGGGGTGATAGATACTATTTCACAAATATGTAATGTTTTCCAGACCGAATTTCTTTAATTTCCAGGCCAATAGCGATGAGTGTGTAGAGGAGCCATAGGGGCATAGAGGAGCCCTCTCCATTCCCTCACTCGCACAGTTCTTTGCAATCCGACACGACCGGAGGGAGAGCAGGCTCGGGACAACGTCTTTGCGTACTTTCCTAGGCTACCAACCGACCGATACACCACTACCGACCGATGACCTAACCTGGGATTCAAACCCAGGCTCATATGATCAGCTTCCTATTTACGACCACTAGACTGAGGTGGCAGTCGTTTTTTTAATGAACTGCACTGAAACTTTAATTTATGGCGGTGTCGACTACCCAGTAAACGTTCTAATGAGGGAATTGGACTTGCAGCTGCAGATTGAACTGCAGACCCTCGCTGGTGGCAGCGTTGAGGCGGCCGACGGTGCTCACAACTCGAGCGCCAGCGCGCCCGAGGACGAGATCGACGCGGCGCTCAGCCAGCTGCAGGAGCAGCTGGAGGGCGGCCCGCCCGCCCGCCACGACATCACTCATGTGCCCGAGCTGGCCGACCACCTCAAGTACCTCAGGTACGGCTCGCCAACAAATACAAACATTTGAAATTTAATTTAGTAAATTTTTAGTTTTGTATATTAACAAAGCCGTATTTGAAATTCAACTGCATATATATTAAAACACAAATATTATATATCATAATATATAAAATACAAATATGTATTTTATTAACAAACATACAAAATAAACGTTTTTGTATATTTGTGCCTTCACATACAGTGTTGACACACACTATTGAAAACAGCACATTTGAAATCACACAAAATTTACATTTTATACAGGTAACCTATAAATAATAATTTTTTGGCAACATTTTAAAATTCTTTGGCGATAATACTCTAGAAAATGAAATTGTGCGCTTTCACATTGGCCGATAGGGACACTGACCCGGTATGATACTGGTCCGGCAAGTAGATGAAACACATAGCGCAAACCACTACAGTTTATTATTTCACCAATAAAAGAAAATTTAGAGCTGTTTACAAATATATGTATATACAGTATAAGATAGCAGTCGTCATTATAGCGGCGATATAAGTATCGTGAAAGGTTAAGTCTATGTCAGCGATGATATCGGTAATAATAATAATACATTGTGTAAGTGTTTTGTATGTATGTATAATATGTATATGGTATATATTGAAAATGCATACAATGCGTGTAGTGGCGGTGTAAGAATATCCACTACTTCATATCATCCCGTTGGTGTCGTAAAAAGCGACAGAAGGAAACAAGTCAGGAGATGGGCAGCAGCGGCGTAATAGCTAATAAAAGTAAAAAACTGCGGTTGCCACTTGCTTGCCAATCGTGGCAACTATGGCAAATATCCCCCCTATAATTTAATCTATAAGGGAGGCCTATGTTCAGCAGTGGACTATAATAGACTGTAAAAACAACGGCATGCAATGCCAGTTAAGAGTTTTGGCGGGAATATAGCAGCCAGGGGAATGCTGCTCCTGTTTTACTGTATAAATAGTAGTTTAAAGTGGGTTTTGATACGTAAAAGTGATGCGATTTTCTTTATTAAATGTCTGCGCATGAAAACTGTTAGCATGAAACAAGTGCTCCTATGGTGAGGTGAACCTCAAGCTAATGTGTCTCCGTCAAATCTCCCAAACACTTACTACGCAATGTGACGCATCAACATATTTTGAACAAAAAATCTATAAAAAAGATGGTGAAATGAAGACATGGCTTAAAGGACTAGCATCCAAGCCAAAAAATCTTAATAAATAAAAAAAAAATCCTGTTATCAGTGAAATGAAAATTAATTCAATTTCGGAATTATGTGATGATGCACGTATAATCGTAGGTGTTTATGTTTGGTGGTGATAAACACACCTCAACTAGCTCTCATCGGTAATAAAAATTAGACTTATTCTTTGTGACATAAATCTATACCGCCGCCCGTGATCAACTGCAACATCAGGGGGAATGGCGGATGCGATGCTAGCCTTTTAACCCTTCAAGTGCCATAAAAATCCCATGCAGTCGCATGCGCCCGGCAAATCTCGAGTGGTCGCATGCGACAGCACCCACCCACAGCATGTAAAACCATTAAAACTTATATTTAGAGACTACTTTTCTATGAAGAAGTTTAGCATTATAAAATCTATACAAAATTCTCTAACCTCTGGTCTAAACAAAAGTCAGGTTTTACTTAATTACAAAAAGATTTTATTGTATTTTGTAACAAAAAAAAACATACCAAGCGAATGTCGGCAGCGTGAAAATGACAATTATTTCAATATATATTACTCGAAATTATTTACGTAAAAAGATAAATTATATTCACACAAAAACTTTCATTACAATTTTATAATAAAACACTACTAAAACACTAGAAAAATCAACACAATAACATTCACGTGAAAAAGGCGTACGAAATGAAGGTGTGACCGTGGTAGGAAAAGGGGAGATCTCCCGCCGGGCAAGGTGTTCTGCCCGGGGAGCGGCCAACACTCCGTGTGATAGTTCGGAGATGTTCTATATATGCTGTTTGTGATTCGGAATGTTGATAGCGTGATTTAGGCTTCGGTGTATTTCGATTGTGGCGCGACGACAGCGCCGTTACAAAGGTAGATAATAAATAAATATTCATAGGATAACAGTTTTTTTATTGCACTAGAGGATAGAGTATAGAGGATAGAGAAGAGGCTAGAGGATAGAGATTTCATATTGATTATATAATGTGCCAAACTTCTTCTTAGAAAAGTAGTCTCTATATATGTTTTTATGGGTTAAAGTGCTGTGGGTGGGTGCGACCTCATGAGACCGCTAAGGATTTGATGGAATGTGGCCGCGGTCTCATGAGACCGCTTAGGGGGTTGAAAGGTTAAATAAGTATAGGCTCTTTTCTTGAAGGTTTTATTATTATCAGACTGTTAATCACTGCTCGATATGGGCCTCCCCGTTGAGCGCCCCCGTCGCGTTGGATGGTTATAACGACATCTTAAGAGTGATTGTATTTGCCATAGTGGTCTCTTAGAACACCCACGGGAAAATGGGGTTATCATGTATTCTTACAGATAAATAAATCTCCTTGGCCTTCGATAAATGGCGTAATAACCATTGTCTGTCTTGAACCATAGTTGTGTTCTGTTAAAAAATTCGATTGGCATGAAAAGTGTTTTTTTGATTATATTTTATGTTAAATGTGGTATGCAAGATGATGTTGTGACCAGGATTAAGAAAGGAATGCTTTTGGTGGTTTGTTCATGTAGAAAGAACTAATGAGGAAAGAGTGACAAAGCAAATTTATATGGCAGATGTGAACGGCAGAGTCGGGAAGGGACGCCCTAGAAAATAGTTTATCGACCAAATTGGCGATATTTTGAAAATGGGCCACGTTAGAAGTACCCTTAACCGACGAGCATGTATGCGTAGATATATGGATGTAAAGGAGGCGAAAGAGGTATGTCAGGATCGTGCCAAATGGAAGTCCGTAGTCTCTGCCTCTGGGTGACAGGCGTGAGTGTTTATGTTATGTTATTTTATGTTAAACAATCATTAGTATCTCATGGGCTTAATGGTAAGATTTAATAAAACTACATAATATTTATTAATTTAAAAAATTATATATTAATTTAGAAATGTATTTTTAGCTTTACAATCAATTTCTAAAGAAATAATATTTAATTTAAGTAATAATTTGTTTCTTAATTTGTTGAAGGCTTTTTAGTGAAATTTAAAATATTATATTTTCGTATATTTATTTTAATACTTAATATGTTTCATTATGCGTATTTTACCCGTCCGACTACGTGTGGCTCGCTACAAAGCAAGTGTAACAAGGAGCACTGTTATTTTGCGTAAGACTCAATTTGTTACCCCCAAATAGTCCTCTGTTACTAAACACAATCTCTACCTATTTAGTTGTTTAAACAAAATGTCCTTAACACCCTCAAAGTCCATTCTCAATTTTATCCTCGACATTTCCTTGAAAATGGCCCTTACAAAAAATTACAATTTAACGATGAACCTCAATAGCCTCCTATAACATTTTTTTATTTAGTAATTTTAGTATGTTAGTGTAATTTTAGTGTTGTGTTAGTATTGATTAAAGTGTACACTTTATTACATAACGAACTTTTGTATATAGTGTCCAGATTCAAATGTTGCCTAGTATTTTGTATTGTTTTATACTAATATATAGGTACTATCAACAATTAGTCGGTATGATATTAACATGTCTGAGAAATGAGACTTCTTGTTTGTCAACTTAAGCCTATATTTTCTTTACTTACAAAACGAAGCCTATATAAAGCATATAAAATTTGTTTTTCATTAACCATTTAACTACTGAAAATGAACCTTTTTATAGTAGGGAAGATATGCCACATTACGTCAAACCCTTCGATCGCAGTTCTTTTATCTTTGACGCTTCCCATGGCCGATGGTATTTGATCACCTGCATTGCCCATTAGGTGTGCCGCTCAGTAGCTTCATTCTTTTCTATAAAATGAAACTTTAGAAGGTGAACTCGGTGATTGTATAAATTAAAAATTAAAAAAAGTAATGTGTACAATAAAAAATCGGTAACACACAAAACACAAAATTTTGTGTGTTAGGTACCTATTTTTTATTGTAAACATATTGAAACTTTTAAAAGTGATAGGCATTAAGCTAAGGCATTAAAGGCACTGCCAAAATATGTACTATTGATTGCTAAGTTTATAACTTTTTTCAAATATTTTTACAACAATAGTGAATAGTTGGTGTTTGGTTTCAATTGTATTATGATTCCCTAAAATAACTCGACATTGCGTTCTAGACTGATGTTGAAGACTCGCGGCCCGCGGTGCAATTAAATGGGGGAAAATGACGCCGTGTGGTAAGCGCCTGCCGTAAGGCCCGTAAGTGCGACAGAGAGCGCAAAGCGCAACAGGCGGCGTACTGTTTCCTCATATTATTGCACCGCGGGCAGCGAGTTTTTAACATTAGTACAGTTCATAACGTTTCATTATTTTATTTGGTCCGTGTTGCAGACCGAAGCGCTTCACGCTGAAGGCGTACAAACGTGGCTGGGTGTCGTGCCGCGACGGCGTGCTGCGCATACATTCTTCAAGCGACGCGGCCGCTCGTGGCGAGCCGCCGTCTTACGCTGTCGAGCTACGCGGCGCCGAGGTAACACTAACTGTGGCCGTGCTTGTGGGAATTACATCATTTTTTTATAGAATAAGGATGACAAACGAGCATACGGTCCACCTGATGGTAAGTGGATGCTGTAACCCATAGAAATCTACATTTAACCTCTATTAAGAATCAAAATGCAGATTCGTTGTCACCCCTGAGGACTGAGATGGAATGCCTCGTTTCCAGTAAAAATGGTCTTCGGTTCTCTATACTCACCATACGAAACACAGCAGCATTACCCCTCAGCCGCCAGCTAAAATGACTAACATCGCTCGCTTCGCGAGACGCGGCGTTGCTGAAAATAACCTATCCTTGAATTTGTCGTACATTTATTTTCAATAATATTCATTATAAATTTCAATATAATTATTATTTCTGTGTATTTATTATGTTATATTACTTGTTTTAGTGCTTTTACTTCATTTCAAATAGATTTTAATTGTTTTTCATAGTTAAAAATGTAGGTACCCAGCACAGAATGGCATCTTGAATATAGCAATTATTTCTATATATTAATCGAAATTATATACGTAAAATGATAAATTGTTTAACACAAAACTTTTATAACAATTTTATAATAAAACACTATACTAAACACTAATAAAACACTAGAAAAATCCAAAAATCAACAGAATAACACGCCACACGAAATGAACGTAGATTATAAATAAAAAACCATAAACTAACTACTTTTTATTGCATTAGAGTATAGGAAATTTCACATTGAGCCTATAATGCCAAACTTCTTCATAGAAAAGTAGTCTGTAAATATAAGTTTTTATGGGTTAAAGTGCTGTGGGTGGATGCGGTCTCATAAGACCGCTAGGAATTTGACAGAATATGGCCGCGGTCGCATGCGACCGCTTGGGGTTTGAGAGGTTAAGCTGCTATTTTACTCTGGTATTCTGCGAGCGTGGTCCTTTCCTGGTTGAGCCGACCTATTCGTGCTAATTATATGACTGCAGCGTAGCTCTACCACGTAATTTTTTTTTCTATCAAAACTACGGCTTATACCATCCCAGTTGTAGACTACGAACTATTAAAATCTCTTAGACACGAATATGCCATTTGACTCCTTGAGGTTTTCAACGCGTCTTATTTATTTTCAACTTTTCATAGCTCTGCTTCGTTTTGTCCATAACAGTTTACTATTAGTCATAGAATTCTACAATATAAAATAAATGTTATTAATATATCCGGCTCAAAGGACCAGTCTTAATAGCATAAAACTTTTTTTGTATCAGCAACATAATTACAATTTTCCAAAGTACTCTGAGTTTTGATTTTATTCAAGATACCAGACAATGCCGTGAAACTTCGTGACGTTTGAAATTGTAAAAAATCTCTAAATCTGATAATAAATAATCATTGAAGAATTTAAATATAATAGTATGTGGTACTTCATATATGTGGTATAAATACCGCCTATTCACTGTTAAAATTTAACGTCTAGGTAACACCAGATGCGCATCCCGCTTCGGGAAGATACAGTATCAAACTAGAAATACCGGCTGAAGATGCCATGCACGAAATGTGGCTCAAATGCGACGATGTAAGTAAAAGTTCATGTTATTAAAAACATCACTATGGTCACAGGAGTTATTCCTAGCGTGGGATAACTCAGTTACCACAGAGAACTAATACAAAATTTCTCGTAGCATGATAATGTCCCAACTACTACTTTTCAAGTCGTAACATAGCAGTGGGTAGTTTTGTTTGATTTAATTTTCAAATCGGGACAGCAGTGGGTTGTTTGACTTGACTAACCCAGATGGACTATGTTCATTCTGTTTTATTCTTTTATCCATCGCACATATAGGCATATCACTATGATCATCATTAAAGCTCTTCACAAGTCCACTGATGACATAGGCCACCCCCAAGGAAAGTAAGATAACACTATCTTGCAGTTTCCTGTATATGTCCTACCAGGTCATCTCTCCATCTAGTGGGAGGCTGCTCCACATATTTTTTACCCGTACGAGTTTGCCAGTTGAGAACACTTTTATCACATCATAGGTTATTAATAATATGTGGGCATATAATATGTTTAACTGTAAAGGAGGAGCAATACGCAAAATGGGTGGCGGCATGTCGCCTGGGCGCTCGCGGGCGTTCCCTAGCCGACGCTGCGTTTGCGAGCGAAGCGGCCGCAGTGCGCAGTCTCCTAGCTCTGCAGCGGCCGCAGCCCGGCGCAGCGCTGCAGCAGCACAGCGTGCCGCACCTGGAGCACCTGCAGCCGGAGAACTTCCTCGCGCCGCGCTTCCTCAAGAAACTCAAGGGCAAGGTGCGTGGCGCTCTAGCTTCGTGTTGTTGCAGCGCTGCAGAAGCATAGCGTGCCGCACCTGGAGCACCTGCAGCCGGAGAACTTCCTCGCGCCGCGCTTCCTCAAGAAACTCAAGGGCAAGGTGCGTGTCGCTCTAGCCGCGTGTTGTTGCAGCGCTGCAGCAGCACAGCGTGCCGCACCTGGAGCACCTGCAGCCGGGGAACTTCCTCGCGCCGCGCTTCCTCAAGATACTCAAGGGCAAGGTGCGTGTCGCTCTAGCCGCGTGTTGTTGCAGCGCTGCAGCAGCACAGCGTGCGCAGGGGACGGGATTTCGCGGGCTTCTCAAGAAACAGTGTCGTGCGGTGTTGTTGCACGTGCAGCACAGCGTGTCGCACCTGGAGCCGGAGAACTTCCTCGTGTTGTTGTAACACTTCATCGAGCACAACAGTAGTCCTCGAGTGGCTTAATTATGAACTACACTAGACTTAAGCCAAGGGTAGTTCAACTGCAAATTCGAAGGCGCGAAAACATTTACACTGTTTTATCCGTTGACGTATATTTTGAAAATCCATATATCAAACTCCGTGAAGAAGATATTATATAGGTGCAGTTGTGATTCCGGAAATTTCCGTTAACATTATAAACTTTATCTGAGAAAAAGTCAAAAGTCACAGTAGTGAATGATAGATTGCTTTTACTATATTATAATACTATAATATATAATAATATATATAGTTGATGATTGCTAACTTAGACACAAATGTATAGGAGAGTATTATAAATGTATTTTTTTAACCTCTAATTGCGTCGAGTATACAATATGTAACGTAATTAACGCACACCCTCAGATACCCCAATTAGTATATTATGATATAATCATAATACATACACTGAATTTTTAGTTAAACATTTTTATGCACTGATTATTTATCAAATTAGTTATACTAATTCCGGAAGAATGTTGTGGTCACAGTACAAATCCACGAACGCAAAGACTTTAACGTGTTTGAAATAAAGTTCATTTTCTTTATTTTTATTGAATGACAGAATTAATACAAATAAAACTGCACTCTTATAAGTCTTATTGCCTTAAATTACGGTCCATTTCAGTTTGTTTTGACTGTACAGATTTAGTGCGACTGTAATTTACGTAGATAATTATTTTTGGGATAAACAATTACCTGTATTAAAAATGATAGGAATCGATTCAGTAAACTATTCTGAACAAACTACTTCCAGGATGTGCGTTAATTATGTTACATGTTGTATATGTCTTAAATATTGCCGAATATGTCGAGTGCCCGAGTAGTGAATGAGTATTCTTTGTTGCTAATAAAAATACTTTATTCTTCCTTACAGTTCACACAGCGCGTGCTCGAGAGCCACGCTAACGTGAAAGACCTGCCACTGCTTGAAGCGAAGCTCCAATACATCAAGACCTGGCAGAATCTGCCCGACTACGGCCAGACGCTGTTCGTGGTCCGTTTCATGGGCCACCGGAAAGACGAGATAATTAGCATCGCCAACAATCGTATTATGCGTCTCGACCCCAACACTGGTGACCATATAAAAACGTGGCGGTATAGTACGATGAAGGTTGGTATAATTACACTCGTTTTTTATACTTTATTGGGAGTGATAGAAAAGCCCTCTGATAGCTATTAGCTAATGCAGCGCTTTGGCTATGGAGTGTAGAGGTAAGGAGTACAGACTATGTATTAAAAAGTGTCCGTAGAAAACCGTTAAATAAGGGTGGCGCCACTGTAGCTACGGGGTAAATTTTAAATAACGTGCTGAAAAATATTAGTGGGATAGACGACTTTTTCGAGGTTATGTTTACTAAATAAAATTATTTTATAGCTACTGAGCAGTTTAGCAGCACACTTCAAATCGACAACTGCTAAGTTCACTTCATGTAGCTGTTTCCTGTAGCTACACCAGCGCTCTTGTGGAGAGTTTTCGAACTGTTATTTACTGCCAACAGATGGAAACTATTTCAACTATTCTCCTATGAGAGATTGTTCTCTTTACCTCTACACTCTATAGCTTTGACTTTTGCAATCGGCTTCATACAATCAAAACTATACTTGCGATTTTTTTTAAAGAATATTAGTGTGATTACTGGAACCACAGTAGTTAAATGGTGTTCTTTTTTCTATATAGGATAGGGTGACAAACGAGCACACAGTCCTCCTGATGGTAAGTGGTTGCTGTGGCACATATTATACATCTACATCTATCCTCGATTACGAACCAAAACGCAGATGCGTTGTCACCCGTGAGGACTAAGATGGAATGCCTAGTTTCCAGTAAAAAAGGTCTCCGGTTCTCTACACTCACCATATGAAACACAGCAGCATTAAGCTACTATTTCACACTGGTATTCTGCGAGAGCGTGGTCCTTCACCGGTCGCGCCGACCCATTCTTGCTACAACTATACTACTAACTGCAGCATGGCTCTACCACGTATAAAATGTTGTTGATGTTCTCCAAGTTTTCAGTATGCACCCTTTAACCGTTAGCCTACTGTCGTTTAAACTGTTACCAGCCCCGAAGACTACCTCAAAGTGCCTCAGTACTCCCTTTTTAACCTTCCATAATGCAGCAGTAAGTGCACTGATAACCTAGAGTTCCAATTTAAATTCTACTATCGGTTCTGCAAGAAACTTAAAGAATATGTTTTTAATGATATATAGTTGTGCCTACATGACCGAGCTGGGTAACCAAGAGAAACGAATGTATCCAGGACTTAAAATATGTCTATGAAAAATTAACAAAATCAGCTGTATTTCCGTTTCCTCCTTCGAACATAGATAGATTTTTGTTTTCCTTTTTAAGAAAAATATAAGAAGTATATAATATGTAAGATTTTTCTTATATTTTTAATGTTCTTTATATTTGTCAGATTGCCTGAACCAGTTACTCTATTTGGTTAAGCAGTATTTATAATATACGGTATAAAATTAATAAATAGCTCGAACCATAGAATACTATAATATATACATAATAGAACGGGCGAGTGGGCGGAGTCCGTGTAGCCACTAAAATGTCACTAACACGTCAATTCGCACGTATAAACGTCAACACGAGATGTGTTTTGATGTTACAATCGTTTCCAAATTTCCCATGCAAATTATTTAGAAAATGCCAAATGGCACGCTATTTACAAATAAATATGTATTAAAATCTGTCTGTCAACACAGCGAATCGGGTTTGTAGTAGTGATAATACGACGTCATTGCTTGTACGTGTGCCCCGGCGACGCCTATCGTCGTATAAAATAAGGTTGACAGCCATTCTATTGTGTATTATAGTATTCTATGGCTCGAACTAAATTGTTTATCCCTTGATTAGTAAACTAGAGAACATTATACATTACAGTTGTATCTAATTGTGTGGTGTTATCTTAAACTGAAAATCGTAGAAAGATCCACAAATAACTAGTGACTACTTTCTATAAAGTCTACCTTCAAAATGTGATTTTGTTTCAGGCTTGGAATGTGAATTGGGAAATAAAACACATGATGGTACAGTTTGAAGAGGGCAACATTATTTTCTCAGTCCAGTCAGCCGATTGCAAAGTTGTCCATGAGTTCATCGGCGGTTACATCTTCCTATCTATGAGGTCGAAAGACGCCAACCAGACCCTTGATGAAGAATTATTCCACAAATTGACTGGGGGTTGGACATAAAATTGGATTTAAGTTGAAAATCGAGACATTTATATTGTGCCTTTAACAATTTCACTAATTGAAAAAGAAAACTATGAATTAGTATTTACTTGTCTATAAACTAAATTTATTTAAACGATGACATAAAACTATGAAAATCTTTTTTAAAAGGACCTCATAACAGCACATTTAATTTAGATATTTCCAAACTTTAATGTGTATTTTATACTAAAATTAAAATATCTTTATTGTGAGACCTAACTGTAGTGCTTCCAATAATTATTTCTCTATAGACACTTGTAAATGCCAAATATAAATAAATATTGCCACAAAAAACAGATTACCCGAAATACTTATGATTATCTCCCCGATGAATTCAAGTATGTCAATTCTAATTAGATGTTAAGGTTAATGCGACGGAAATGATGTTTTTAATAAATATGAATAAATCATGGTTTTATAATTAACTACTTAGAGTTATATCATACTACGTTATTGAAATAATACTAGTACATATTTATAAAAAATATTTTACCATAATGTTACAAATAATGTCAATGCTATTTTTTTGATATGACATGAAATATATTAATGAAGTGACAATCCTTGTATAATTTAAAAAAAAACACGTATATGTAATTAAACAGTGCCATTACGAAACGCAACAAAACCACTTTAATACACTCAAGACTCCCGTTGGTGCTTTTACTATAATACAGATGTAAGATATATAGTGGCCTTTTATATATACAACTGCTGTTTAATGTTTTATACATTGTAAATAACATTACAATTAAGTTATATTTCGCCAGTGTTGAATTAAAGTGTTAGAATTTGGATTTATTTTTTATAATACTTCACATATTATGGATAAAATTAAATTCAAAGATTTGTTTTTGTTATGATTGACTTACTAGTCTCATTGAAATCGCATAAAATGCTGTCATGGTTGAATATATGTAATTGATTAGTGTGTATAAGTATTAACAAAATTTCGCCTTATATTATTGTGGACCTATTGTACAAAATGTATGTACACTTTAATAAATTTGTACGTTTGTAAATGAATGTCGAAATAAATGTAAATTAATAACAAAAATTAAGGTATTATTTTATTTTAAGTACAACTGTGTAACCCAGGTTCGAGCCCGCCTAGTACAACACAATAAATTTGAATGATGAATTTTAAATACGGATTTACACCAATTTGAAAACATCATGAGAAAACCTCATGTAAGGAACCAAAATATTTTGAAGAAAATATGAATACTTACTACATACACCTAGAAATGTGTAAACACCAGTGGCCAGCTGTGATACATATACAATATGTAACGGAATTAACGCACACCCTCAGACACCCCAATTAGTATATTATGTTAGAATCATAATACATACACTGAATTTTTAGTTAAAAATTTTTATGCACTGATTATTTATCAAATTAGTTATACTAATTCCGGAAGAATGTTGTGGTCACAGTACAAATTCACGAAAGCAATGACTTTAACGTGTTTGAAATAAAGTAAATTTTTCTTTATTTTTATTGAATGACAGAATTAGTAATAATACAAATAAAACTGCACTCTTAAAAGTCTTATTGCCTTAAGTTACGGTCCATTTCAGTTTGTTTTGACTGTACAGATTTAGTGTGACTGTAATTTACGTAGTTTTAATTATTTTTCGGATAAAAAATTGTGTAATAAGAGGAGAGTGTGGTTTGCAAGATGATGTTGTGACCAGGATTAACAAAGGAATGCTTCGGTGGTTTGGTCATGTGGAAAGATGAATGAAGTGACAAAGAAAATTTATGTTGCAGAAGTGAATGGCAGAGTCGGAAAGGGACGTCCTAGGCGAAAATTTATCGACCAAATTGGCGATTTATTGAAAACGGGCCAAATTAGGATTAATTGGCGATATTTTGAAAAGGGGCCACGTTAGAAGTACCCTTAACCGACGAGCATGTATGCGTAGGTGTATGGATGTGAAGGAGGCGAGAGTGGTGTGTCAGGATCGTGCCAAATGGAAGTCTGTAGTCTCTGCCTACCCCTCTGGGACAGGCGTGAGTGTTTATATATATATATATATATATATATATATATATATATATATATATATATATATATATATATTTTATTTAAAAAAATTGCCTATATTAAAAATGATATAAATCGATTCAGTAAACGATTCTGAACAAACTACTTTCTCAAAGTGCGTTAATTATGTTACGTGTTGTATAGGCTGTAACTTTGCTTTCTTTTACAACTGTACAAATACAGACATAGGCACATATTAGGTAAGTTGCTTAGGCATATAAGCTATACTTAACTACAAAGCTTCGCAATTTCTCATGAAAAGATTACATAATCATCATCAGCATTATTTGAGACTGAATTAGATGGTTCATATCTTTACAGAACACAAACATTTTTACAATAATGCAAAGGTGCAATTTGTACAGCGATGTGCACTCTAATGGTATAATCATAAACCCTCACGCCTGTCACACAGAGGGGTAGGCAGAGACTAGACTTTAGCACGATCCTGACATCTCTCGCCTCCTCCACATCCATATACCTACGCATACATGCTCTTTGGTTAAATAGTAAGTACTCCTAATTTAGCCCATTTTCAATATATCGCCAATTTGGTCGATAAACTTTCGCTTAGGACGTCCCTTTCCGACTCTGCCATTCACTTATGCAACATATATTTGCTTTTTCACTCTTCGTTCAATTTTTCCACATGACCAAACCACCGAAGCATTCCTTTCTTAATCTTGGTCACAACATCATCTTGCAAACCACACTCTTATCACACAATTTCTCACCCTGTCACTCAGATCCAGCCCTAACATACTCCTTAACGACCGCGTTTCTACTGCGTTTATTCTACTCTCGTACTTCTTCTGCCCGCACCCTACTTTCACTACCATACGTTAAAGTAGGGACCAACAATGCATTGTGAATTGCCATACGTGCCTTTTTGACACATTCACAACTTTCGTCTTACTTGCGTTCTCTTTCATACCCCTTTCTTTTAATGATCTGTTCATTAATGTAACCACATCATTTGCAACTCGGCCGCCGACGACGCAAAAATAACTTGATCATCGGCGTACAAAAGGCATTTGACGGTTTTTTTATGATTTCCGCCGGAGGGTACACCCCCACCGACGGGAGTATATTGTCAGATTCCACTGATAAGTTTCGCTTTTTTAAACATTTTTTTATATAACTATTACACATACTGTTTCTGCGATTTGATACATAACGCGCTTTCCTTCTCCTCACATTACTATAATTCTTAACTATTTTTAACATATTATACATGGGTGTTGCTCGGATAAAATAATTGTTTGATTAAGATTGACGTTTTGTTATTTAAAGTCTCGCGCATGCCGCGCACCACGTTAGACTAAAAAGAAGATGACAATGAAATGAAAATAATGTAATGAAATTTAAAATAAAAACTAAAAACAAAAATTAGTCTTAAGTTTAAACTATATAGAGCTGTTATATTATAATGTCTCTAGTATAATGAATTGGTACAATGACTAAAAACTGGTTAAATAATCTTATAATATAAAACAAAAGTAGAATAGTGTAGTCTTATCACTAAACACAGACAGAGTAGCATAAAAACAGTAAACTTAAAGGAAATAAATACACAGAATAATCTTAAATCTAAACACAACAATAACGTTGACATAACAAAATAACATAACAACAATAAAATGAGTGTAAAATAAATCCAAGTGTAATCTTAATTCTAGACACAAAAATAACATGGCATAATGACACAGTAAAGTAGAAAATTTAAAGAAGACGATGAGAAGCCTTTATTCCATGAACAACAATATAAAATAAAATGGTATACTTACATTAAAGGTAATTTTATTACTAAACATAGCCATATGGTTTGTTAACAGTGAGGTAAAATATTAAGAGTATGAGGGGTAATCTTAGTCCAATTTTTTTTTAAAATGTCATGTAATACAATAACTATGAATAATTGTTTAAAGAAAAAGTACTTAATAACTAGTTGTTTCTATTTACATGTGTACAGCTGTTATTAAAGTTTTTGAGGTGTTTAATGATACTATTAACAAATTGTATGAAGGAATCCAGAAGGGATTCCTTCTTCATTAAGTTAATCATGTTCAACGGAGACGTTCTTAATTTTCACACCTCATCACATGACTAAGTCTTTGTACTGAAAATGCAGGATAATGCTCTATAAGATGCTCCAGCGTCTGTGGGGTGTCATTGTTGCATGGGCAATAATTATTGTCAGTTATTTTAAAACGGCATAGATAATGTTTGTAGAAACCGTGGTCGGTGAGCACCTGGGTGAGGTAAAAACTTGGTTTGGTGAGGGTGCGTAGCCTCTCGATATCCTCCAGTTTCGGAAGCAGTCGTTTGGTATGTTGGCCCTGTTCTGCGCTATAATACCTAGCTTGCCAGGTTGCACGGTTTTGAGTTCTGATGATTTGTTCAAGAAATGGGATAGGCCGAGTAATCATGCCGACTGTGTAACTTTGAGCCGGCATTCGCAACAATGTCCGCTGCCTCATCACCGGCTATGCCTGAATGACCCGTGACCCATCCCAATTCTATGGTGCCTATTTTACTGTGTTCACGAATAATTTGGTGTATTTGTGTGATAATGGGGTGTGTGTTGCTTCTGTTCTGGATGCCATGTATGGATGAGAGTGAGTCAGTGTAAATGATTGCATGCACATATTTGTGTTCTCTGATCCACCTGCATGGTGGGTGGAGCAACAGCTCGGCTTGGAACACTGTGCACGTGTAATGCAGTTTAAATGTTTTGGTGTAGGCTATTTCATCAGGATTAGTTGGAAGATATCCAACAAAGGCGGCCCCCACTGCACCATCCTCCTGCTTACTTCCATCCGTAAATATACAATGTGTGGTCTGTCCATGTAGAGGTTGAATTGATAGGTAATTTGTATAGGTTCTGTTCCTTAGGGAGATACGTTGGGCGGGATGAAGTAGTTTGGAGACGGGGGTGGGTTTTCCTAACGGAATATCGCTGGGGATGTGGTCAGAGATACCCCGGAGCCGAGCCCTTTCCACAGCGCAAACTTCCCGTACTTTCTGGTCCAGAGGTATGAATTGGGCTAACGCTAGTGCCGCGGCTGTGGAGACCGTACGGAATCCCCTAATAGCCTTGATGGCAAACCCGCACTACGTGCTCTCGAGTGCCCTCCTGATGCACCTTTTCTGGGCGACGTGGCCCCAAATTCCCGCAGCGTAGGTGATTGTTGGCACGATGACCTGCTGGTAGATTGGTGCTGATATTTTCAGGATGGGCTCCCCAAGTGGGTCTCGAGTACATGCAGAGCGTGTTGAAGATCCGCACGGCCCTATTAATTACGTATTTCATACGTTTACCGAAATTCTATTTCTCATCGAGGATTACTCCTAAAAGTTTCACCTCGGGAACAAAGCAAAGTCGGTGTCCGTCGATGTTAATGCTGGCTGTCTTAGGAGTGAAGGCAATGAGCCTCGTCTTGGTGGGGCCGAATGCCAACTCGACGATCCTTCCCCACTCGACTATGTGGTGAAGACCCAAGTTGGCAGCGCTTTCCAGTTCGCCCGCACTCGCGGCCGTAACAACCAGCAGGACGTCGTCTGCAAAGGCCTGTATGTAACAACCCGCTGGAAGCTTGGTGTTGAGTAATTCGTCTAATATTATGTCCCAGAGAACAGGGCCGCACGTGGAGCCTTGGATGCAGCCCTTAGACATCGCCTTGGTGACCCGCCTCCCTGCATAGTCAAGAATGACCTTCCGATCGCGGACATAATCCTGAATGAGCCCAAAGATGTTATTAGGACATTGGATATGCCGCAACCGGTGGAAGAGTGCCGGCCACCAAGCGTTGTCAAAGGCTGTTTTTATATCTAAAGATATAGCGATACTTAGTTGTTTATTACTTTTAGCTTGTCTTATTATATTAAGCGCAGTGTTTATAGCTTCTCACGTGTTGCTCTGTTTCCGGAAACCGAACTGAAATTTGTTTAACAGATTATTTCGTTGTGCATGGTATGTAACTCTTCTAATGAACAGTTTTTCCAGCAGCTTGCCAAACTCTGGTATCAAGCCAATAGGACGGAATGACCCTAATGCACTGTAGACAGACTTAGCCGGCTTCGGGATAATTTTGACATATGCGGTTTTCCACTGGTTAGGGAAGTGTTGGAGTGCAAGACAGCGGTTAAGTATGTCAGTCAAGAGTCTAGGATAGTCCGTCGCAAACTGTAAACATATGTCTGATGTTAAATTGTCGAGTCCGGGAGCCTTTTTAGGGTTCATTTGTCTTAAACACTCCAACACCACCTCCTGAGTGAAGGGGGGATCGTAATGGGACTGAGGAGATTTGGTCATGTCAGATCTTAATTCGTGATGTCGTGGTAAGGTGTTGGGTGAGTCGTCCGGGTAAAAGTGGTCCAAAAGTGCCTTAGCAGTCTCCTGGCTATCGGTGGTGTAAGTAACGTCTCCGTTGAGGGTAACTGGTGGGCGCCTAGGGGTGGCAGTTTTGAGTAGCCTATTTGTGAGTGACCAGATATTTTCCTTAGCAATTCGCAGAACTCAGGAAAACGCCTGGTCGACTCATCACGCATTTTGCCAGCGTAAAGTTCCTTTCTAGATTTGTGTGCCTTCTAAAATCTGGTCCAAAGGCAAACCCTGGCGTTTAGCGGCATAAATCTGATGCAAATCCACCACTTTCCGCTTGATTGCCTCCAATTCCTCCGTCCACCAAGGAGCCTTCGGCTTTGTTCCCCGGCCTTTAACATGCATGCTTACCCGGCATACAGAGTGGATCACATTAGTGAGTTCGGCGATGACCTGATCCAGATCATCAACGTTCAGGGTAGAAATGTCGTGTTCAAGTATGTTTGTTAGTGTCATGTGTGTGTGCAGCTTGTCCTTAAAAATAGGCCAACAGGCTTTGTTTGATTTGTATAAAAAAGTGGAGTTCTGGTGTGTGTTGTGTGTGTGTGTGTGTGTGTGTGTGTGTGTGTGTGTGTATGTGTGTGTGTGTGCGTGCGGTGCGTGCGTGCGTGTCGTGCGTGCGTGTGTGTGCGTGCGTGCGTGTGTGTGTGTGTGTGTGTGTGTGTGTGTGTGTGTGTGTGTGTGTGTGTGTTGTGTCGGATGTGTTGAAATCAATGCAGTGATCTATAGCATTATGCTGGGAAGTTGGGCAGATATTCAAATTAACCCGCCACTCTGAGATATAATCAATGATGGAGCCACAAGCAAATGTGAGATCGATTATTGAAGAGCTATCTACGTTACATACATATATATCATTGCTGTGTATAATATCTATGATTTCGTTACCCCGTAATTTAGTTTTCGCGGTTCCCCAAACTGGGTGCCACCCATTGAGATCGCCAGAAGATCGAGAGAAAGACATCTAATTTATCGAGCGTTCCTAGCTCGTCACTGCCTGGCTCCACATATATAGATGCAATATAAATATTATGATTTCCAGTAGTAAGTTTGATAACGCAGAATTGGATGTTGAAAACTGAGATAGGGTGAGTGGGGGGAAGATCGAACGGTTTTTTGATGAGATGAGCAGTGTTGTGTTTGACGTCTTGTAGAACTGTACATATTAACTTAAGCTAAAATTATACCTATAGTGAATAAAGTACAAAGAGCATATTTTTATGTCATATCGATAAATCTCTGTTATATTTATTCGAAAGCAAAAATAAATTAATTGCAATGTTTTTATCAAAAGAAAAAAGCATGGGGAAAGATGAAAGGGTGGTGGGGAAAGATCGAAGTAGTTTCTAAAATCTCAGACGATATTGACGGTCAGTAGGCCACAACTTTAACTGTCCTGACACTTCAGAACTGTCTTTAATATCAAAATACCTTCAAATAACACAGATAACACAAATTATTTGTTTTTTGTATTCCAATCTTGCCCCACCGGGAAAAGATTGAACTAGAGGTTCTCAAACTTTTCACTTTACTTAGATAAGATTATACAGAAAATGAAAGATATCAATCATATAAAATCTTATTGTAAATGCCAAAACAATTTTAAACACAATTACGTACATGTACCTTTTACCATTTTCGTCAACAAAATATGTAGCACAAAACGTAAAAAATTAAATATTTCAAAATCAAACAGCTAAACAATAAATAAGATCTTAGAAAAATTTTAGCAAAAGTTCAGAAAATACCCTTTTAGGGCACTTTAACACCTAGGGAGCCCAAAAAAAAAAAAAAAAATATATATATATATATATATATATATATATACCTACATTTATAAAAAAAATTGGGGATCCACGTCTACAGTTCACTGTAACACATAAATGAGCAAGAACGTCAGCATGAAGTGGTTAACTTCTAAGTGGCTGCCATGTTTCACCTGGTGAGTGAGAGTTCCGGATGCCCGTTCCTTTTCCCCTTTTCTTAACGCCACCCGAATGTTGACATTTGCTAGATAAACCGATTTGACGTTGCATTGTTCTAGGAGCTGTGATGTTGCATTTACTAGCGAGTGTCTGTTGGTCTTTCTTTTAAGTTCCTACTCCCATTCCTACGAATCCTGTTCCTATAACTTATAAGAAGGCAACGCACAAGTAACACTCCTGTTGTTTCTTGTGTCTATGGGCAGCGGTGAAATCACTTAGCCATCAGGCGACCCCCCTTATACTTTTAGATAATATTAGTCGAAATTGTGCCGCTGACAATTTATATAATGGCTGTAACAGAAGAAAACATTTTTTTAGGTACACTTTGAGAACATGAGACCATTAGTATGACTTTCGAAAACGGGGCAAGATGGAAACTTTTATATGTTTATCTTACCCCGTCGAATATTGGCGGGTAAAGACGGAATGTTACAATAAATCCTAAAATACAAAAAGTAGCGACATTTAGACATAGCAACATAACTAACAATTAAAAATAATAAGTATGTATCTATAAAAAACTCGTACCTACCTCGTAAATGAAATTACACGACACGGGGTAAGATTAAAACACCCAATTTGCTCGCGTAAAATTCACAGCGTAGATTTCCCTTATAACACACAACCTATCCCTCAAAACGACAAGTACTGACTTAGGTGTGGGACGTAACAAAATGGCGGTCTTACGAATGTTGCCTGCATTGGATAAATTACACAAAATCTGTTTTTATTGATGCCTTTTTGTGTTACCCCGTTTTTCATCTTCCCCCCACTCACCGTAATCCCAAGATCGACCCGCATCCTGGTTTTGCTAGGATGCAAGCCTTAATCCTGCTGCCCGTGAAGAACTGGTATGTGTCAATTCCAATCACTGATTTAACCTGATCTCCAGAGCCAACGTATGGCTCGGAGATGAAGGCGATGTCATAATCACCTGCTATGAACGAGAGAAGAATCTCGTGTTGCGCATTCCTGGATCGGTCGATGTTACACTGTAAAAATTTTAATTTACGGTGTATATCCATAATCGACACGGTTATTAATCTTCTCCCTCATGGCTCGCAATCGTGGGCAGGTGTTCGAGTGGGCCGTGTGTTTGGTATCCATTTTTGTATTATTTATATATATGAGTGTGGCAGTTGTAGCTGTTGGGCTTATCTTTTTTGGGAAATTTGCCCACATCATGCTCCGTGCTCGCACAATGTGAGCAGAGGTTTTGGTCGGCAGTGCACCTTAATTTAGAATGGCCGAACTGCAGGCACTTGTGGCACTGTAGGAACGGCGAGAAGCTAGCTACGTGGACTCGCTGATATTCGACGCTGATTCGACCCATGTCGAGGATTTTATTGTATAATTTGGGTTCTACTAACAATACCGCGTTGTACAAATTGGCGTTTCTATTTTCACGTTTGAATCTCAACTTGAGGTTCTCACCGCCACCATTGTTAATCAGTTCAGTTAATTCTTATTTTGGCGACTGATGGACTGAATTAAGTCATCGGCTGGAACATCCTTAGAGATTCCGTTAAGAATGACCATAGGTCTTAATTTCCGCACTGGTCGGCTTTGAGCTCACTTTTCCCCTGAGGCCGCGTGAGGGTGTCTTTAAGCTGGGTTTCGTTGTCGAATTCAACCCGCAACTTACTGTTGGAAACTGGCTGACTTCCAGCAGGTGCGTAGTTGGAAGCACGGTAGTTAATGTTCTTTTTGAACAGTTCGACGGCATCCTGACGAGATTTCACCTCTACCGCAGGAGTAATTATAATCGCCGGTTTGGACACTGAGGGGGGCTCAGTGGGAGCCGAAGCCCCGCGAGCCACTGCTGCTGCCTGTGCATATGTCGGTTTATTGGCCGTGACCAGGTTTTTCACGCCTGCGATCTCCTCCCTCAAACATGCTAGAATTTTCTCCTTCAGCTCGCTGTTGGAGGCTGGTGAGCTACGAATGGACGCGGGGTTGAGGAGACCAAAAATATGCCCAGCTTTGTGAATTTCCTTCGCAGCAAGACTAATTAATCGCTTATTAGCAGCGGTCACGTTCTTGCCTTCATTGACCGCTGTGTTAATGCAGCTGGCGAGCTTATTCAACGCATGAAGAAAGGTGTCTAAGCCCTTTGCCTTGTTTATGTTTTGGTTTAAAGAGTACTTAAAGAGTATAATATACTCTTTAAGTACTGGGTTATATTCCAAAGCTCTCAAATCTGTGACTCGTACAAAAAATCAGCTTTGTTTGAGTAGTCAAAAAAAGTCGTATGATAAAAAGTTTACCATGAAAGGTTGTTTCGGCCGAGCTTCCTTGGAAATAGTGGCATACTGGGAAGGTAAGTATATATCCTTATTTTTAAGCCTGCATTCAATTGCACTGTGGCTGGAGTCACACTCAATTTGGGTATAACCTTTTTGAAGGAATTTCTGTGTTATTACGACATTATATTCCATGGCTAAATCTAAAAGAGCATTTGCTGAAACAACGTTTCTGTTTTGGGATGTACATCCATCAGAACATAGGATAATTGGCAAAGTTTTCTCTGAAAGAATTTTTCTCAGGCAATCTATGACGCATGATACAAAAACAGAAGCCACCAATCCTGCATTATGCTCGTCAAACCAGTAACAATGGACATCTTTTGTGGCTAGGTTAAACATTGTGAAATTGTGCACACAGAGCTTAGTTTTATAGTACAATGCACTAGCCTGCAACATCGGACACAACTTTACTGATTGGAGGTCATGCGTAAATACGTGTGCTTCTCCTGCTAATGCTCGGTCCTTGTCTTTCTTTTGCTCCTCTCTAGCTGCTTCTTTTCGATAATGTGATTGCGATAGATGTCTTCGCCAATATTACCTGCTTTGAACGCACAGCATGTGTCACATTGATCCTTTTTTGGCTGGAATAAGCTTAAATTCTTTTCTTTAAAAATTTTATCAAAAGACCATCGGCTGACGGGTTCTTTATTTTCTGATTTACACTTTTAAAACTACTACTAAATTTTAGTAGGTAGGTAATAGTAGGTATATACGGAAAGAAATTCTCTATAATTCAAGCATATGCACCTACGAAAAGAGCCACTACAGTTGAAATAGAAAACTTTTACGCCGATCTTGACAAAGCTATGAATAAATGCACAAAAAATATAATATTTCTGGGAGACAGGATACCCCAAAGAAAATGAAGAATTAGTAATGGGAAGGTATGGCTACGGAAAAAGGAACGAGAGAGGAGAAACGTTCATACAATTCTGTCTTCAATACAACTTAAAAATCTCTAACACAACTTTCAAAAAAATCTAATAAGCTTCGGTGGACCTGGAAAACACCTGATGGAAAATCGAAAAACGAAATTGACTTCATAGCTACAAATGTCACAAAAAAATATACAAAACGTTAATGTAATGAGCGAATTGCACCACCCTAGTGACCACAGAGTGATTAGAATTACTTTAAATATGGTGGAAAATAAAAAATCCCGAGCTCACTACCGAGGCAAAGCATATACAGACAATTAAACTACAAATGAAGACCTGCCATCCTTGTCCGACTGCGAAAACGATAGCGTGCACCAATTTAACAAGAAAATTGAGACATTTTTACTAAAAGGCTACAAAAAAACGAACTGAAGATACAACTGAGAAAAGAAGTAAAGAAATTGTAACAGAAGAAATAGAAACTCTGAAAAACAAAAAACACATGTTAAAAAACAAGAAAAACAAAACTAGGCAAGAAAAGAAAAGTCTGAGTAAACTATATAGAACAATACATAAAAAAATAAAACAAAACATTAAAAAGAGGAGACTCGATACAATCAGCAAGTTCATAGAAGAGACAGGTGGAATAAAAAAGGCTTATAAAAAGTTAGAAAGTACCAAGCATCTCATGACACAACTCCAGAATGCCTCGGGTATCATCGTCACTCATAGGAAAGACCTAATGACGACAGCTACACAGTTTTATAAGAACCTCTACACGTGTGTAAATAAAAATCATGAGACACCAATGCCTAAAAATTATAAACCAGTTCAAGAAACAGTACCACCTTTTTTTAGAAAGAGATAGAGCTATCTATAATAAAACTAAAAGCAGGAAAGAGCCCAGGACCTGACGGAGTGACAAACGAGATGATAAAAGCCGCGAAAGAGAAACTAATAAAACCACTCACTAAGCTTTTCAACTGTATTTTAAAAACAAAAGAACTACCGGAAACATGGACATGCTCGGAGATAGTTCTACTGTATAAAAAGGGAGACCCCAAACTGATATCTAATTACAGACCCATCAGTCTTATATCCTGTCTGTATAAAGTATTTGCATCGACCCTACTAAGACGTGTAACAAGGAAGATTGACGAGAACCAGCCTGTAGAGCAAGCGGGATTCATGAAAAATTTCTCTACCAATGACCACATACACACACTGAAAGTAATAATCGAACGGTTTATGGAATATGACCTCCCCTTATACGTTGCTTTTATAGACTGCTCGAAAGCCTTCGATTCAATTTCACATGACTCTATATGGCAGGCTTTAAACCAGCAAGGACTAGACCACGACTATATAGAACTTATTAAAGCTATTTACTTGAGAAGCACAACAAGAGTACGTCTAGACTCAAGAGGACCATCATTTCAAGTCGAGAGGGGGGGTAAAGCAAGGCGATCCGCTCTCCCCAAAACTTTTCATCGCAGTCTTAGAATCCATATTCCGAAACCTCGATTGGAGTGATGTGGGAATAATAATAATAATAATAATAATTGCAATAATAAATCACCATGAAACGGCGCCGGGTCTGGGCGTCTCCCGTTAAATGACGCCCTGTATGGATGATGGAACATAGAAGATTGCGCAAAGGGCCGCTGCCTGGAGGTCGTCAGGGCGCGTCTGGAGCTGGCGCTGGACGCGACAGCATGCGAACCGCCAGCCGAGCGCGAGGTGCTGCACGACCACCCAGCAGCCCCTCGCATCCATCATCCCCACCAGCTTGCTTGGTGTCGGCAGGGTCTTCGCAGGCCCAGCAATCGGCACCCGCCACTGGTGGAGTACGCCGCATGCGATGGACCATCAATATGAATTCAAACGCATTGCGGGCGTATTTTAGGGCGAAAGGGGGAGAAATTGGAGGTTTCGCGTATCGGGCTAGGATGCATCGTCTTTTTACTGAGCTGGAGCCATCTATTACTGTCACCGAGCAAAACCTGGCAGACCGAGTTCGGTATATCTTACGCTCAAATATATTTGATGGCGCCGAACTCGAACGGCTACGACGTGAGGCTGTTCCCTCATCAAATGAAAACGCTACGACTGAGGGTGCGGTGCCACAAGTTGCAGAACAACCCGCACACGTGGATGCCGCCGAGAATACCCCAGTGGTTGCTGATTCAAATGATGATGGAACATTCACCCAGGAACTAGAAATAGAGCAAATGAGGAGTACATTGGAAGAGGCGATTATGGAAACGCGCAGTACGCCTCTCGAAAATCGACCGCGACTTCCCCGCATAGCCCTAAGCAAGCGGAATCGGGCTGTCGTGAGGGCTCTGAACCCAATGCTGGTGACCTATTTGGAAGCCAGCCGGGACCTTTGCGAGACGGACTCAATTCTCTTTGGCGCCGCACTGGCAGTCTGCCGTATTATAGGCGCCAAACTTTCCACGGCTGGACGCACTACTGGACAAAGTAGTGCTATCCCAGCCTGGAGAACAAGAATTGAAGAACGTATCGCAAAGGCTAGGGCCCTCATCGGCAGACTGATATGCTTCAGGTCAGGCAATACCAGGCCAAGGATTGTGCGCACCGTCAGGATGGCGTTTGCTGGGACAAATGTTAGTTTGTCCCAGCCGGATATAATGCAAAAACTGACGGAGCGCATAGACGACCTGAAGCAGAGAATCGCTGCTTGGGGAAAGCGAATTCGGCGATATACCGAGAGGTCGACACGGTTCAACCAGAATCGTCTCTTCCAGAGTGATCAGAAGAGGCTCTATAAATCATTGGAGCGACCAATGGTAAGTGGAACGGGCCCAGTACCGAATCAGGCCGACACGGTCGCATTCTGGCGCAGCCTGTGGTCAGAGCCCGTAAACCACAACGAGGGCCCTTGGACGGAAGTTGTGGCGAGTCAGTGTGCGGGTATTACGCCCATGGACCCCGTCACCATAACGCCGGATGACGTAGCTGAGGCGGTCCGTAGGGCCCCGAACTGGAAAAGTCCGGGACTCGACGGGCTGCATCACTACTGGCTGAAGGGGTTCGTGGTGTGTCACACTGTGCTCGCCCGACAGTTTCAAGAGGTTCTCAACCAGAAGTCGCTCCCGAGCCTCTTCACTACTGGGATCACCCATTTGGTTCCTAAAGGCCAGAGTACCACAGACCCGAGCAAATACCGCCCCATCACATGTCTACCGACCATATATAAGACACTAACATCCATTTTGAGCGCGAGAATCACTCGTCACCTGGACTCAAATCAGGTGATGTCGCGCGCTCAAAATGGATGTCGGGGCGGCGGTCGTGGAACCAAGGAACCACTCCTCATTGACGCGGTCATTGGCAAAGTGGTGAAACGCAACCGTCGGAACTTCTCCGCCGCCTGGATAGACTACAGAAAGGCATTCGACTCGGTGCCCCATACATGGCTAAAGAGAGTCCTCGAACTGTACAAGATAGACTGTACAGTTAGAGACTTCCTCGAGCAGTGTATGGGGCAGTGGAGTACGATCCTTTGTCATCTGGGCGAGCGGATGATGGCTGCGGAGAACCACATAAGGATAAGAAGGGGTATCTTCCAGGGCGATTGTCTGAGTCCAATATGGTTCTGCCTCTCTCTGAACCCTCTCAGTACCTTACTGGAGGGCTCCGGGAGGGGATTTCAGCTACGGAAAGGAGGGACAAAAGTGACCCACCTTTTCTATATGGATGACCTCAAGTTATTCGCCTCCAGTCGCTCCCATCTTATGGAACTGCTAAACATCACTTGTGAATTTAGCAATTCCATTGGAATGGAGCTGGGGACGGATAAGTGTGCGGTCCTCCATGTTGAGAGGGGTAGGGTTGCTAACTCTGAGGGCATAGACTTATCTATGCCCGTCAACTTTAGGACCCTTTCCGAGGCTGAAACATACCGATACCTGGGTATGTCACAGAACATTGGTATCGATGAGGCTGGTATGAAACAGTCAGTTTGCGACGTGTTTTATGCACGCTTGACCAAAGTGCTTAACAGCCTTTTGTCCGGTGTGAATAAGACACAAGCATATAACGGCTGGGTCATACCTGTCCTCATGTATACCTTTGGCATACTCAGGTGGACTCAGACTGAACTTAACGCCCTGGATAGAAAAGTCCGCACTACCATGACGTCCCACAGGATGCATCATCCGAGATCGTCGGTAATGAGGCTGTACTTGCCGCGAAAGCATGGTGGGCGTGGCTTCTTGAGCGCGCTCACCATGCATAATCGCGAAGTGTGCAGCCTCCGTAATTACTTCCTGGCGAGATCGGATGATCCATTCTATAAGGACGTCATTTCTTGTGATAAAGGACTTACCCCTCTATCCTTAGCCAACGAGCAATGGCAAGACCCGGCAGTGCAGACAATTTCCGACCGGGAGACCGTATGGAAGGAGAAGGAGCTCCACGGGAGGTTCTACAAGTCTCTACATGGGCCTTTCGTAGACACAGTAACCTCTCTCCACTGGCTACGCTTTGGTGACCTCTTCGGGGAAACCGAGGGTTTTGTCTGTGCAATACAGGATCAGGTTATTAAGACCAACAACTATCGGAGATACATCCTAAAGGATGGCACCATCGACATCTGTCGAGCTTGTCGCCATCCCGGTGAGTCACTTAGGCATGTCATCTCCGGTTGTTCGGCGCTTTCTAACTCTGAGTACTTGCACAGGCACAACCTAGTAGCCAGAATTCTACACCAGGAGCTCGCTCTGAAATACGGTTTCGTGGATCGGAAGTTGCCGTATTACAAGTACTTGCCGGAAGCCGTGCTCGAAAATGATCGCGCCAGGCTCTATTGGGACCGGGCCATCATCACAGACAGGACTATTCTTGCGAATAAGCCTGATATTGTGCTGATGGACCGGGCACAGTCAAGGATATTTTTGGTCGACATTACCATTCCGTGTGACGAGAACCTCGTGAAAGCCGAAACAGATAAGCAAACAAAATATCTGGACCTGGCTCACGAGGTGACCGACATGTGGGGTGGTCTGCCGACCGAAATTATTCCTGTAGTCGTCTCTGCAAACGGGCTAATCCCAGTCAGCCTCTCGGGTCATCTGAGGCGGCTGGGACTACGTGGCGGACCGCTCCAGGCTCAAATGCAGAAGGCGGTGCTCCTCGATACCGCCCGCATCGTCCGCCGGTTTCTTTCCCTTTCCCCTAACCCTCGGCCGTTTGGTCTCCCCTGCCGAGGGCTTCCATCTGGTTGGGCTTTTATTTATTTATGTATTTTCATATTTATTTTATTTTATTGATATTTTTGTATGTTTATCTTTTCATTTTCATTTATAATTATATATCTATATAACCAACCAGATGAGAAAACTATATAGATGCCCCACAATAATAATAATCATTTATTCAAATAAAAGTACAATAATAGAGTGAAGACTCTGATTCCCAAACTAGACAAGTCTGTATCTTAGGAATCAGTGGCCTCTCCCAGTGTTGTGACAACAGTATTTTAGTCTTAACAATTAATTAAGTAACTAAGCTTTACATTTTTAAGTAATTGTTTAGCTAATTGAATGTATTTATTTACAACGAAACATATACTTTAACTTAATGCGACTCTTTAGTCGTTATTATATTTCATATAATCGTAGGTATATTAAAATTAGTTTGCAATTTGCAATATATATACATATACATACACACACGTATATACATATACATACACACACACACACACATATATATATATACATAGAATATATTATTATATAATTTCATACAGAATATATATTTTATTCATTATAACCTATAATGAATAAATAGATGCTTTAAACAAAGATTGCTATTTTTAATTTCATAATTTTAAAATTTTATAATTTTATTATACTTTTATTATACGACATACATTACTACATGTTAACAAAAATTATATTTTCTGTTTTACTATAATCAATTGACAATAACCATTCTCGAACTTTAACTTTACATTCATGTCTGGAAAGAGGATAAAAATTTAGATTTCTATTTAATTTATTATAAAGCACGTACGTTTATTACGACAGATCTCAGGGTTATAAGGAGTTAGAGCATGTTTCATTAAGATCAGTTGTTGAATATACAATTGCCTAACAGTCAACAGTTTGCATTCTTGGTAAAGCAGATTTGTAGGATACCTGAACGGTTTAAAAATCATAGTTTTTAGGAGACATCTTTGAGCTCTTTCTAATTTTATCATAAATGTTTTGCATGCTCCACCCCAGGCAACTATACAATAACCTACAATTGATTGTGCTAAGGCGTAGTATACAGTTCTCAATAAATCAAAGTCAGCGATGTGCCCTAGCCTTTTAAATGTCCAAATAAGAATCCTAGTGCGCGATGAAATAAGGTCTATGTGTGGGAGCCAGCTTAGTTTCTCGTCTATAATTACTCCGAGATATTTAATTGATTTGGATTTCGTCATTTTAGGGCAAAGGCAAGTATCTGTTGACTGTAAACCACAAGAGTGTACTGTTAATTGTATATCGTTAACAGTTTGGGTGTTGGTTATATGGAACTGCATATAGGTAGACTTTGATATATTAAGAGTCAGTAGATTCTCCTCAAGCCAATTTGCCACAGATTGAAGACCCCTCATCGCAAACTCCTGGAACTCAGGCCAAGTCTCTCCGTAGAAAATTAAGGCTGTATCATCAGCATAAGTAAATAGCTTGCCTTGAGTTAGTGTCATTGCGCACAGGTCGTTGATGTAAATTAAGAAGAGACTTGGTCCCAGGATACTGCCCTGAGGGACTCCAAATGTGACACAGGTGTCTGAGCTAATAATTTTTTTTTATTTTTACTCTCTGCACACGGTCATATAAAAAATCCTTAAAAATGGAAAGGGCAGAATCTCTTATTCCAATTTTTTCTAGTTTGTTTACAAGAATGGGTATCGAAACGGTGTCGAAAGCTTTGGCTAAAACTAAGAAAATCCCTACACACTTCTGTTTATGGTCCAGTTTATTTGTTACAAATTCGGTCAAGTTACGAACAGCATCTTCTGTACTAACACCCGCTCTGAATCCGAACTGCATATTAGATAAGATATTATATTTGTTTAGAAATTTAACCAAACGATTATTAAGCATCCTTTCTAAGATTTTTGAAAGTGCAGGTAGCACAGAGATCGGCCGGTAATTTTCAACAACGTCCCGAGCCCCATTCTTGTAAACAGGAGTAATGAGAGATCTTTTAAAAACTTTTTGGAAAGCATCCTTGTTCAAAACAGATTTTAAAAAGGGTTGTGAGTGGCAGAAGTATTTTATCCTTGGTCATTTTAAGGAAGCAAGCAGGAATGGAATCCCAACCAATAGCACAATCATTTCTAAGACCCATCAATATTGTTTCTACTTCTAACTCGTCAGGAGAATCGAGCACAAATGAATTAAGCGACCAGGGTATAGTATTAACATTAGCAGGTTTAGCACCGTTTGCTAGAATTTTATCAGCTAATTTTCTACCCAAAGTTGAAAAATAGTAATTAGCTCTCTCCACTGAATCTATAGGATTTTTAATGATCAAATTTTCAGCGTAGTTATTTTTCCGGAGATGGCTTTGATTGCAGACCAAGTTTCTTTACTGTTCTTTGCATTTGCCAAAAGACTTTTTTCATATTGGCGCTTGAGCTTACTTAACAAGGAATTGCAGTAATTCCTATAACGCTTATAAGAAATTTGAAGTATTTCATTGTCAGGGTTCTTTTTCAGTTTTTGGTGAAGTTTATCGCGGTGACGGATACACCTTATCAGTCCAGGTGTCATCCAGGCCTTAAGCGTTCGTTTCACTCTAGGAATCTTAATTTTAACAGTATTATTCTTTATAGCAGAGGTTATTAAATCAACAAATTTTTCGGCAGCCGTGTCTGCATTTAAAGTTGAAGATATAAAAGAAAAATCAGCAGACTCTATAGATTTGATGGCATAATCATAATTTATTTTATCAATAAAAATATTATTAGGCTTGCGTTTGGGGTTCAAAGAAACATTTGTTAAGATTAAGGAATGATCAGTGATTACACTATCGAGTACCATTATTTGAGTATTTAATACTGTTTTCACCATAACATGGTCTAAACAATTATTGATACGGGTGGGATAGGTATGACCTGGTAAAAGACCTAATCCTGCAGTTAAATTTAAATAAGGTTCACTGTCTTTGTCTTTGTTGCCTTGAATAATATTTATATTGATATCACCCATAATAAATATGTTACTAGATTTTAAGGGACGAATAATTTTTTTCTACAGAATCTAAAAAGTTGTCAATATAATAATAGGAGGGTGATCTATATACCGCTAATATTACTATATCTGGATTTATTTTAATTAAAAGATAGTTACCACCATTTGAATCAGGTTCTGTTATTATACAAGCAATTGAGTGTTTAGAATAAACTGTTATACCATCATTTTGGATTGAACATTTTTTTGAGAAATGACATTTGTAACCTGAAAGCGGAGGAACAGGCTTATTAACATCAAGGCGACATTCTGTTAGTATTATTATATCCGGTTCAAATGAAAGTTGTGATATATATGCCATAAAGCCATCCAGGTTTTTATAGACGCTACGTATATTTTGTGCAATGATATTTAAAGAATTACAGGATTTCCTGACAATATCATTGCATTTTAAAACATCACACACAAAAGATGAAGCCACTCTAATATTATCCATATCTGATAGAATTTGATTCTGTAATTCAGGCATTTTTAAAGAGGAAAAATTCATTGTCACATCTATAGTTCCGATTTAAATAATAGCTATTGAGAGCCATCCCACAAATTGTTCGAGAAAAACCATGTATTGTAAAAATATACAGTACGGTTACAATAGTAATGTGAATGTATGTCGTACCGTTTAGTAAAATATATACCATGTTATATAAATAATTAAAGAAATAATAAATAAATATTTGATAATAAACAAAATCAATGTAAGTAGTAACCAAAATTCTACCGGAGATCTCATACAGTCATTTTTGGCCTCGCAGCTTAGCTAAATCTGACTCAGAGTCCACTCTGATATGTGGTTTGCCCTCATCTTGACGTAGATATGTACGTCCGTATGAAGTCCAGCAGAACGTATATCCGTTTTCCTGCGCAAAATTTCTTGCTAAGTAGTTAAGGCGCCTAGCTTTCTGCGTTAAATGTTCAGAAATAAATATCGGCTTCTGTGGCCCATCCAGTGCGAGATGGGTTGTGTTTAATTTATTTGCGCTGTTTTTTGTATTAAATTTGCGCGCGTTTTTCAAGAAATTTTCTTTTTTTATGGTAGTTGTAAGGTCGACGATAATATTTCCGTTACCAGTTTTGTTTTTAATGCGGAACACGTCATTTATTTCTGGCTGTTGAAGAGGTACTTCTAGGGCCTTAGCAGTTTTTAAAACAATGTCACACAGACTTTCTTTGGATTCACTGGGTCCCATAGGGATGTTTCTAAGCTCAAGCTTTGATGCCACAATAGTTGACTCCAGAGAGCATATTCTTCCTTCAAGTTCAACGATGTAGAGTCGATCTTCCTTTCTTTGCTTTTCGAGGGAATCAAATTTGATTTTCATATCATCGTATTGCTTAGATATCATCTCGATTGATTCTTTAATATCTTTATATTGAGATAGTATTTCATTCACAGAGGATTGTACAGAAGTCAATGTACTCTGATGTTTTAAAATGTTAGAATTAACTATAATTTCTCTAATTTCCCTGATTTCTTCCCTAAATAGTTCCATACTAGAAGAATCAATAACATCTTTTTTCCTTAGGGTGATATTATCACGCTCTGAAGAAGGCTTTTCAGTAGATAGGCTGGGGCAAATATTTATAGGTGTACAGCTCACATTCTTATTCTTGTTTTTTACCGCTGGCGGTGAGGCGGGAGGCGGTGTTCGCTTGAGTGGCATGCTTAGTTTCAAATCAAACTCAAAGTACCAGGCTCCCAAAAGTTTACTGGAGTTTACAGAAGCAGTCTCGCTGCAGGGGTCAGCTAAAATTGTCGGTGATCGACGATTTCCTACAAAAACTCTTTCCGTCCAACTATCATAGACCCTTGAATGCACATAAACAAACGGAATTGTGTGCGTAACTCGTATAATGTATAATTAATAGCACAGTAGTGTGACTTACGCGCAGTAGATGACAGAGAGAGGTGTCGTGTCGAATAGACGTCTCGTTTACTCTTAGAACGATAGCACACACAGTTATTCACTCACAACCACTACCAACAGATAATGCGAAGGCGCAGTAGTATGTCACCTGATTACTTGCAGCTTAGCTCCTGGCAGTTTATGCACTTCTATTTTTAGTATCGAATTAAATTAATACTATTTTAAAATTAAAAATTAAAGTATCGTGGAAAAATTAAAAAGACGTCCAAACTAGGCGCGGTCCGGAGGGAGAAGGAATCGGGAATAAAAATCAATGGCAAGTATCTCTCACACCTCAGGTTTGCGGATGACATAGTACTGCTGTCGGAAGACCCGCGCAAACTTAACGACATGATAGAGTCCCTTAGCCATCACAGTGAGACCGTTGGGTTACAGATTAACTGGGACAAAACGAAAATAATGACTAATCGTGAAGAAATACCTATATCCATACAGTCTCAAACTATAGAATATGTCACAGATTATACTTACCTCGGATATCTAATCTCAATAAAATCCTGTACAGAAAAAGAAATCGATCGAAGAGTAAAGAAAACGTGGAGTAAATACTGGGCTATGAAGGAAATTTTCAAAGGCCCCATACCCACAAAACTGAAAACAAAAGCGATGAACATCTGCCTAACGCCGATTCTTACCTACGCATGCCAGACATGGTCCCTCAAAAAATCACTCTTAAATAAAATAAGAACCTGTCAAAGAGGACTAGAGCGGAGTTACATGAACATCAAATTGAAAGATAGAGTCAAAAGTTCACTGATAAGGAAAAGAACAAAGGCGAAAGATGCAGTCAAACAGGTCCTGACATTAAAATGGAAATGGTCTGGTCATATTCAGAGAGCTACGGATCAAAGATGGTCACAAATAATCACAAATTGGTACCCAATATATAAAAAACGAAGGAAAGGTAGACCATTTAAAAGATGGAGTGACGACATCGTAGAAATAGCTGGAAACTTATGGTCCAGACGGGCAAATGATAGAGCCACCTGGAATGGTTTGGAGGAGGCTTTCACCGCAAAAGGCGGCCCTTACACCTAACAATACTAAACTTATTTAAAAAGAAAACTAACATTACTAACAAATAAATAAATAAGCATACATAATAATAGATAAGAAATACATACATGTAAGGGATAAAATAAAGCTAATAATAATAATAACTAAATTTTGAAAAGATGATTCTTGTTTTCGATGATAGGCTCTAAATATTCTCTAGAAGAGGTAGATCTACAATAGCGAGAAGGCATCTTTAGCAAACTGTTTAGGAAATCTTTAAGAAAAGCTACCTCATCTTTCTTTGTGGGTCCTTCTAAAACCTTACGAG